AAATGTGAGCCTTGATAATTTTTTCAAAGACTTTGCCAAGGATGGAGGTGAGACTGACTGGCCTATAGTTGCCCGGGTCCTCCTTCCTCCCCTTCTTGAAAATGGGGACCACTTTGGCCCTTTTCCAGTCCTCCGGGACTTGGCCCGTGCGCCACGAGCATTCGAATATTCCCGCCAGTGGCTCTGCAATGATGTCGGCCAGTGCCTTCAGCACCCTTGGATGGAGCTGATCCGGGCCTGCCGACTTAAAGGCATCCAGTTCCTCCCAGTGACTCTGCACCATCTCAGGGTCTACACATGGAAGTCTGGCGCCTTGCTGCTGCCTCTCTACAACCCCAGTGAGAGACTTGTCCTGCCCCTCACTAAGGAACACTGAGGCAAAGAACTCGTTGAGGAGTTCAGTCTTGTCCCCCCTGTCCGCCACCAATTGTTTCTGCCCATTTAGCAGGGGTCCTATTCCTCCCTGGGCCTTCCTATTACTTCCTGGGCCTTCCTTTTACTCCAGAAGATCAGCTGCCTTTCCATCCTAAAATAAAATCTAGTGCTATTTCCTCTCCAGAAGCTAAAAATAAATTCCAGCAGCCAACACTGCCTGTGGTAAAAATCTGTCTTTGCCTAGGCTCAGTTCATGAGTCAATGTAGTACTAGACATAGGCAAGCTCTTTTGAGTACTCTGTCACATGCTTGGTGTGTGCAAGTTGAAATTTGCTTGAACAAAATCAAATCTTGAAAAATGTGACCCTCCATTAAGAAAATTCTATTAGATGAGAGTTAAGGAACACAAAGTTCCACGGAGGCCTGATCCTGCAAGGAACACTTAATAGATTATTTACAGCATGCATATCTATGAAGAAGATATTTGTACCTTCTCAGATCAGAGAGAAATGAAATCAATCATGGGAAGAGAAATTGTAAATCCATGATTTTTTCCTAAACGTTTCCAAGATAAAATGATAAGGCACCAAAGCAAGATAAAGGCAGACACAAGGTGATATAAAGTTAGGCAAAATAAAGTTATAAACATAAGTACAATAGGATTGAATTTTATCTTAATATAATGATATTTATGCGCATATATGTGTACATAAATAACAAGGCTTTACTAACATTTCTTAAAGGACAATGTGAAGTGATTTTGCAGGTGACTAATGTATTTTATCAAACCAGAATAATCTAAATTTGCTTATTTATATGCACATACAAACACATACACATACTAGTTTAAAAAACAAAGATATAGACATGTATTTTTTATTCTCCTTAAAATGTCATTGTTTGACCATTAGAGCATAGAAACCTGGAGAGACTATAGTATTGATTGCTTTCATAATAACATCTTAAATTTCTCAAAAAAGCTTTGTAGGAGGTCTAGGTCTGAATTGGTTTAGGCAATACTCTTCCCCGCTGTGTATGGAGAAACTTCAAGGATGCTTTTAAATGTATCATTGTCTGAACGGCAGACAAGGTTCCTTGGGTAAATCTGATATCTTTTATTAAACCAACCCAAATATTTGGAAAACAGTTATTAAGCAAGCTTTCAGGTTCAAAAACCCTTCGTCAGGCTCAGGAAGTTTCAGCAGTTGGTGTGTGCTCTTCCTGGATGGAATGAAAAGTAAAGAAGCCAGAGGCTGGGCTGGTATGTCTGAACAGTATGTTAGACTGATGGCTTGTCAGGAGTGTGCTGCCAGCATGACTGCAATGATCATTCAACTTGCCATCTTCAGCCACTATTACCTTTGGGCTATTGTTGCATCAGAGTCATCTGTAAGATGGAGGAAAGGCTGAATCTGAAGGAAGAATCCTTAGGCAAATCCTTCATGTATCTGTATTTTCAGTCCTCACACATCTAAATTTTTGGTTCACATTAATTAGCAAAGTTGAAGATTTATTGGAAAGTCCGGGGGGGGGGGGGGGGGGGGGGGGGCACTGGACCCAATGACCTGTAAGGTCTCTTCTAGCCCCTAATAACTATGAAACTATGAAAAGCATCCTGACAACTTTATGACCAAAAAAAAAAGGCTTACATTGACTAATGTCTAATGTGATTTTTCTTTTCTTTAGACTCTGAATCTAACCTGCTCTGTGTTTGGAAATCCTGATCCTGAAGTGGTCTGGTTTAAGAATGACAAGCAACTTGAACTTAATGACCATTTAGTAGTTTCACTGGAGCAAGGAAAGTTTGCCAGCTTCACGATCAAGGGAGTGTCCTCAGAGGATTCAGGCAAATATAGCATCCATGTCAAGAATAAATATGGTGGAGAAACAGTAGATGTCACTGTAAGTGTGTATGGACATGGGGAAGAACTGCCTGAGATTAAACCTTCCCAGGCCAAACCAAGACCAATACCGCCATCCTAGACCAGATGCTTAGAAAGGAATAAAAACCTCGAAAGCTGGAAAATCCAGCACAAAGTAAAGCTCAAGAACCATAAATCTGACAAATAAAACAATAGAGATGAGCTATAGTTGTAGTATTGTTGCACATAAACAATTGGCAATATCCAAACAAACATTGAGCTTTTTAAAGTGTGCATTAGAAATGTAGTTGTGCTGCAGCACTGCATACAATGCAGTGACATTACAATTGTATTTTACAGGATAAAAAATGTGGTATGGCATAACTTGCAAATAGCAAAACACTAAATACCTGCCATCAGGGTTTAATGTGTGATGGCAGTTTCTATAAAGCTACAGTAAAAAAAAATAACGCCCCCCAAAAAACAAAACAAAACAAAACAAAACAAAACAAAAAGCCCTATGCTGGGAATTAAACTATCATACAAGTAGCACACTGCAGTTACCTGTGTATTCAGAGCTGAATCCTGCCTGATACTCACACATGCAGTGTCCTTGACTTTGAAGCACTACATATGTGACTAAGGCAATCACGCAGGGCCTCTATAGTCCATATTTAGTATTAGCATTGTTTTTCCATAGTGCAAGCTGCTCTTTGGTAGAGGTTTACAAAAGATCACAGTGGACTCATTAAAACAGAAGTTACATGGTTATATTTTGTTTTTCTTGCTTTGTGCTAATAAAAATGTAAAAGTCACCTTGTGCATCTCACTGCACCAAATCACACTTAACTAGTTGTTTACTCTCCTTCATTGTTTAATTATGGCTTATTGCACAATTTCACAGCTTTTAGCATGCAGACAATCAACTTTCAATAAAGAACACAAATTATGGTTAATCACAGTCACTTTGTGTCACTTATAACATTAATTTTGTTTTTTATGGTATGAGTCTAGATACAAACCCAGCTGGTACCACAAAATACTCATTGAACTGGGTTTGATTCTCTTTTGCCTAAAATGAGCAGCAAACTTCTCTTTGACTTCTCTAGGAGCAGAAACATTATATTAGATTTCAATTTTACAAACACTTAAACGTGCTTACTATGAAAAGTGAGACTATTTTTGTGCTTAAGCTCAGGAGCTCAATATCTGTTTGAAAGTTTACAGGATTGGGCTTTAGGGGGAGATTCTTTGCACAATTACAGCCCCTTTATCTCCTCCAATGGTGCAAAAAGTTATGCTTTGTGCACAAATATCCAGCAAGGAAGTCTTTTATTGGCAGGTAGGTCTTGGCGGATGAAACTGCATCTCATCTAGGTTTCAGAATGAGTGGTTTTCTTTTCACCCAAAAAGTAGGGTAAGTACTGGGAAAGGAAGACAATAGAGGTTGGAGAATGGGTATCAGAAAGAAATGAAACTCCATCATATACGTTCTTTACTGCTAGGGGAGGATCTGGAAATGACACCATTTGAGTATTTTCTCTAAGTCATGTTGGGTTCATGGCTCCAAATCAGGGAGCCATAGCAGACTTTCTGAGTGTATGTGAAGACGTTACACTTAAAACCACCTAACTAGTGTTAGGTTGATTTACGTGCCAAACTGTATATATGTTTTGGGAGTTGAGATTGGGCAAAAAAATGGCCGTCTGATCTAATTTAGTTCACCTGAGGAGATGCACTACATAAGTCAGGCTAACCCATGCCTAATCCTTTGGAGCACAGCCTTGGCCCTGGGAAAGCCCAGCTGCCAGCTGCTCATACCAACCCAGGAACTGTGCTTTTCCTACTTCCCCCACTCTGGCTGGGCTATTTTTAGTCCTCTGACCCCCAACCCCTGACAGACAACATCCCCTCTGACCCAACATTGTCCCTCTAGCTGCTCCTCTGATCTTGCCAACACCCCTCCTCCCCCAATCCTGAGACCTGGTATCCCCCCTGATTCCACTTGCCCTTCCCCTACCCCAACTTACTTAGATCATGTTCCTAGCATGGCTTCCTGTGTGTACAACTGGGGACTCAGTCTCTAATTACCAAGCAAAAGAGTCATTCTTGCTGTCTTTTGGTTGCAATGAATCCCAACAGAAGGGAAAGAGGGAGAGTATCTCAGAGTACTTTATAGCTAAGACGACCATAAATTCCCTTGTTGCCAAGTCATTTTAAATACCTGTCGCAGGCATCCTCTCAGTTTCGTCAAGTGAATGCTTTTGTCTCATTTTCAGTGGGACCCCCAAAACTGCTGTTTAAAATGGGACTCTGAAAATAGGACTGTTTCACTCCTCACATGACACTCCCCACTCACTCTTCAGTTGCTCAGCTGAGGCAGGGTGGGCCACTAGTCAAATATGGTCCTATATATCCAATCCTGTTGATTGGATATTTAGCCAAGAAGTGGGAGATGTGTGTCCACTTCTCCTCAGGCAGAGGAGGGGAATGGAACCTGGGTCTGTAGGACTGTACTAGCTGTTGGGTTGAAAGGATTCATTTTCTTGCAGTGTTGTGACACCATTTTTTTATTTTCAGTCAAAACCATTTGGCAAATACAGTCTGAATTTTGAAGAAGTTCTAGGCAACTATATTTGTCATTGAATTTACTATTCAATGAAAAAATGTCATCCAACTGTATGCAAAGCAATCTGACTGTTAATATGGTCTGTATATGTTGCCATATATGCAACCCACGGCATTAGAAATCCAAGGAGGTTACAAAGGCTATCAGCAAACCCTTGCTTCCTTTCCTCATGAGAGCAGCATAACATTGGCAGCAGACTGACTGCTAAATGATGTTACTGTATTATTCTGACCTGTCTGTAGTTAAAAGGAAAAACCCTAAATTCTCTCTTAAGCCTGGCTAATTTTCAGTGGTTTCTATTAGGGAAGTAAGAGGTAACTTCACAAAAAAGAATGTATCCTTGAAACCATTATCAACTGTAAGAAGCCTGGGCGGTACCATTCTAAGTAGCTCAACAGCGGAAAGGGATCTCATAGTCAACTTCAAAATGTACATGAGTCACCAATGTGATGAAGTAATAAGTAAAGCTAACCACACTCTTCTTGCATAAGTAGGTGGATCACAAACAGGTCTAGGGAGGTGATATTTCCCCTCTATGTGGCATTGGTCAGGCCACAGCTGGAGTACTGCATCCAGTTTTGGGCACCGTACTTCAGGAAGGATGTAGATAACCTGGAAAAGGTTCAGAGGAGGGCCACCTGTCTGGTTAAAGGTCCACAGGAAAAACTGTACAACAATTGATTGAGGGACCTGAATCTCCTCAGCCTCCACAAGAGAAGGTTGAGAGGTGATCTTGTGGCCGTCCACAAACTCATGGGGGGGCAGGGGGGAGGGACAGCAGGAAATAGGGGATACAATGTTTACCAGGGTGCCCATTGGGGTAACTAGAAACAACAGCCTCTAACTGGAGGAGAGCATATTTAGATTGGACATCAGGAAAAAATTCTGTACAGTGAGGGTTGCCAAAATATGGAATATGCTTCCAAGGGAGGTGGTGTTGTCCCCTTCCTTGGAGGTATTTAAAAGGAGATTGGACAAACACCTGGCTGGGGTCATTTGACCCCAGCAATCTTTCCTGCCCAGCACAGGGGGTCAGACTTGATGATCTAATAGGTTCCTTTTGATCCTAAAATCTATGAAATCTATGTAATCTATGAAGCCACTTTAAAAAAAGCATTAGATGTACTGGTAATGGAATAGATTTTAATATCCATAGGCTGATCTAGGATTTTGAAGAGGGGCATTTAAATCATGTGGTGCATCATCACATATCACATGACATACTTTTTTCCAGTTAAAGAGAAGCTAGAAGTGTTACCAATATGTTAGGAGCTAGTGATATATTATTCAGTTTAAGATCAAAGCAAAAAGAAATATAACTATTGGAGGGTACAGTAATTTGCTAGATAACACAGTAAGGTTAAAAAACAGAGCAAACTAGGTAAAAATAGTTAAAATAGTCAAATGATATAATGGCATTATTCCAGCAGGTTAGGGCACCCAAGGGAATCCACACCTATCCCAGCCCTGGAACGGTGTCTGCCTGGGAGTGCAAGGAAGCTTAGGGTTTCCAATGGGACATTTATGTATCTGTACACCAATGCCAGGACCTTGGGCAACAAACAGTAGGAATTGGTCCTCCTGCTAAGCAAGAAAGACTATGATCTCATAGGGATAATGGAGACTTGGTGGGACTCCATCTATGACTGGGCCACAGGTATTGATGGCTATACCCTGTACAGGAGAGATCATGCAGATGATAAAAGGGGTGGGGGTGTAGCTCTCTATGTCAAGGAAAGCTACACATCCCTGCAAATTGACATTGGTACCCAGGGAAGATGACTGGAGTCTGTCTGGGTTAAAATACATGGGAAACATGGCACAGGGGACATCATGGTAGGAGTCTACTACAGACCTCCTAACCAGAAACAAGAACTAGAACAGGAATTCACCAGGGAACTGGCTGAGGCTGCATGCTTTCAGTGCGTGGTTGTCATGGGAGACTTTAACTACCCAGACATCTCATGGGAAGAGCACTCGGCCAAATTCGATCGGTTGCAAAGCTTCCTCATATGCGTGGATGAGCTCTACCTGACTGAAGAAGTCTATGGGCAGACAAGAGGTAAAGGGTTGCTGGACCTGGTACTGGCCAAAGGGGATGATCTGGTCAGTGACCTAAGAATCAGTGGAAAGCTGGGTGATAGTGACCATGAGCTGATCACCTTTCCTATCCATCGCAAAGCTGGCAAGTCAGTCAGCAATGCAGAAGTCCTCAACTTTAGGAAAGCTGACTTTGATGAGCTCAGGAAGCTCATTGTCGAGGCCGTAAAGGACCATGACTCGACAGAAAGAGGAGTCCAAGAGGAGTGGTTGCTCCTCAAGGGAGCGATCCTGACAGCACAAAGTTGTCCATCCCATCATGGAGGAAGGGTAGCAAAAGGGCGTAGCAACCCCCTTGGCTCAGCAGGGAA